ACAGTTTTGACAATTCGATGTATATATGTATTGCTTGATATTAGGCTTGATATTATTTCTTATGTATAATTTCAATTAAATAATCACAGATAAGCAAGACAAATCCATTCATAAAAGGATTCTCTGGTAATTTTAGGACATCCTGTATATGCGTGCGTGCGCGCGTGCGTATGAAACATTTATTTTTTCTCTTTTTTCCAGAATATAAGGATTATGGCCAAATATTATACTAAGATTACATTAACTCGCATGGCTGAATTATTAGATCTTCCGACTGAAGAAACAGAAGCGTGTCTTTGCAATTTAGTGGAGACTGGAGTAATCAGTGCGCGTACAGATCGTCCAGCTGGTGTAGTTCGTTTTACTGGTACACAAGAACCGGCTGCTCTCTTAGATACGTGGGCAGCATCGTTGTCAAAATTGATGGGTCTTGTGAATCATACTACACATTTAATTCATCAGGAAGAAATGTTAGCCGTTGCACAATCTTAAAATTTGTATATGTCACGTGCTGATGTATCTCTTGCATTACATATATTTTTATTTTCATTTAATGATAGTACATTATTATTAACAGATTCATACTAATGAAATGACTAATTAGAATTATGATTTTGAATTGTAAATCATTATATTCCTTTTACTTGCCACACATGTAATTCATGCACACAGCATGCTGCTATAAACAATATTTAAAATATCATTTTTATTCAACATGAAGAATGTTTACATATGGATAAAGTATGAATTGCAAAAAATCTTTATTCTAAATATTTATTTTAATATACAATGTGCGTATAAATACAAAATGTGCGTGTATTCTTATCTTACATGCACATATCGGCACAAACATGCGTACATGCTCTCGTGTGCGTTACAAATTGCTCTATTAAATTTAAGTGTATGTTTTTCATTGCATATAAAATATAAGAAAATTTCCAAATATAGTTATTAGCCATTCATATTTCTTCAGTCAAACACAAATATAATTTGTACATTTAATATTAGTAATTAATAATAATAATATTTTAACATTAATAAAAACACGAATTATATCTCATTTTTATTACATATATCTAAGATTCGTAAAAATAGGATAGGAGAGGCAGAACCAATCACATGTGCCTTGTAATGTTCTGTATTAGAAAGAGAAGGCGAATCTATCAAAACTTCTCTTTCTAAATCCGGATTACAGCAGCGCATGATCGAACGCGCAGCTTACATTCACTGAACGACATGTCGTCGCCCTTCCATCACTAACCGCTCTCGTCCTCCATCCAACGCATTTCATTCCCTCGCCCCTGACCGATTTCGAACTCGCGACGTCGCTTGAAAGTTGGAACTGCAACTGCGGCCGCCGCGCTAGTTTGACACTTTCGTCACTGTTTCGTCACGATCGAGCAAGCGGTGCGCGAACGCAGCAGCGGCACTAGCGGCAGTGGCAGCGGTAACGGTGACGGCAACGGCAGGAAGCGATCTCCTTCAGTTTGTTTTCGCAACGTAACGCGCGTCCGTTCGCGCTCCCGGCGACTACGGCCGGTCCAGCGGTAGCGTCGACGACTTCCTCGGATTCCTTTCCTTCACGAGCGACGGTCGTCACACCATCGTTCGTCCTCTCATCTGTATGCCTTGCGTACGCCCCCACCGTCGCCGATTTTCCATGAGTAAGTTATTTATTGATTTCGAATACTCTTAATAACGTCGCGTCGCAATGACGACGACGACGACGACGACGACAATGACAATGACAATGACAATGGTGAAACCACCTTTATTTTTCGACGACGACGGAAAGTTCATAAATTTGAACGGCACTCGTGAATTGAAATTGAGTATTCCGACAGCTCTCAGAGATAGATGTTATTCCGAAAACGCTTGTATAAAATAGCAGGTCAAGAAGTCATCTACATCACACGTGCATCGCGAATGTATCCCATGCAAAACGGAATCGTGGAAGCTGAATTAAATCATTCCCACGGTGATTTGAATTGTTTCGGTACGTTGTAAAAATGAATGCGAATCAACACGCGTCATCTCTCGTATTCCCTTCTTATGTATTCGGCATTGTAGAATCACAACAAAAGATGTTATTGCATGTCTTCTGCGTTTGAAATGTCGTGCGATACATTGAATGTGCAAGAGTAGAAGTCTTTTGTCTCATTCATAGACATTTCGCTCTTAAGAGATTAATAATCTGAGATACAAATGGTGCTAATTTAATGACTTATTAGGATTCAAGACTAAAATCTTAGTTTTCAAAGTGACTTATTGTATCACCTTTCACTGATAAATTTTAAATTGAAAATAATTATAAAGAATTTTATTAATAATGATGATAAGAGTAATCTTATCTAGTTGTTTTAGTATCGATAAAGATATGGTTGAAAAAAATTGTTATTATTTTATTATAACTTCAAGAAACATCCTCTGTGAAACATTTAATTCTTTTGCAGTCTTTATATACATTATTGTTCAAGCTGATATTTATGCATTGCAGATGTTGATATTGTCTTCCCACAACCATTGGTAATGCAAATATCCTTCCTTGATTTGAAGTCTGCAAGATGGTTCTCATCGTCCAGTTCCAATTTTAGCTGAGAGTAAGACAGAAATGTGAGCAATGATTGTATATTTATAAAATTTATCCTTATTGAATTTATATTTAAATAAATATAAATGAATTATTATATAAACTAACAATTAAAATGTACATATACATTTATATTCACGCATGCATACGTGCGTGTGCGTGTGTGTGTGTGTGTGTGTGTGTGTGCGTGCACGCGCGCGCGCGCGCGTGTGTGTATGTGTGTGTGTGTTTAAAATTTATCATGCCATTTGTATGATGTAATAAGCACATTTGTATATTATGTTATCTAAAAAAAAGTATATAATATTTAAAAAAATATGTAATTTCAACTTGATTACATTTTAGATGATAGCATTCATATAGCATTATTTATGATATAATTTATAATAATAAAATAAACAGATGTACTTATTGTAGAGCGAAACGAATACAGTCCAGCTTGGTGGTAATGCGGGGGTGGTAATGTGGATCTGCTTCGACCTGATAGGAAGCCGAATAGGCTGGGGTACTTCCATTTCGTTCGTCGTCCTCCTGTATTGGACCTCCATCACCATTGATGCCAGTTTAACGAATGCAGCTGCATCTAATGTCCCTCGTAATACTGTCACGTCGGAGATATCGATACCAGCGTCGGCACATCATGAGAACGACGAATGCAGGAATGTGACCACTGACAATAGAGAGGGTACAATTCATAATTTCATCGCACTTGAGATCACTATGCATAATCTGAAAATTTATTTTTTTCTGTTTTTTTCGAGTTGCAATCATTTTAGTCAAGGTGACAAAATACATTGTACAGGTCTCGTGTCTGTACAGGTACTGGACTGTCAGTGGTCAGCCATGGATCCGGTTATCCTCATTCGCCGATAGTGCCTCCAACCTTTCTGTACGGAGCTCTTACCTGCCAACCCTATCAAGGAATTTATGTGAATCACATCTACTTTCAACTCGCAAATGCCTTCTTTCTATTGTCACACCTTGCACCAAGCGGCATACATGGTGTACTCTATTTAAGGTGCACTCTACTCGTGGGCTGTGCCTTTCTTGCTTTGTGGGGCTGGACAATAGCTTGCTGGCTGGATGCTGCTCTCTGGAATGCTCTCTTTGTTGCCATCAACTTCGTCCATGTATGCACGCTTCTTTACAAGCTCAGGCCTATCAAGTTCACAAGAGAAATTGAAGAGGTAAGCGAAGATCAAGAAAATGATGATGTGGGAGTATTTATTATTAAAAAATTAACATACTAATTTATTTGAAATGTAATACATAGCATTAATATACACACACACAACATACACGTGCGCGTACTCACACATGTTATTCAGCATAATGATGCGCACGATTAAGACGGTTCGGATAATTAAAAAAAATGCATTTTTTTTTTTCATAATATTGAAAGAGTCGTTAAAATGAATTCAATGGATTATCGGAAATATTAATTAATATTAAATATCAAATTTGCAACATTATTTTAATAATGGTACTTATAAATTCTGACTAGAAATGTTAATATCAATATTGAAAGCTGTTCATTAAACTGTTTCCAGATTGTAAGCACATAATATTCATCATAAATATCTATCAGTAAAGAAAAATTATAATTTATATAAATAACTTTGGATCTAAATAGTATAATAACTGCTATTTGTTAAAGAAAGCAAAACAGTTGTGTTACAGAAGGAATCAAGTAATTTGGATATTTATATAAATCAATAAAACATCAATAAAAACTGATATACATTGAATTCATCTTAAAAATTCTTACAATATTATTTAAAAAATTCCATGGTGTGACTTTTAAAAAATCAAAATAACTTTAAGTTTCTATAAAAAAAATTTTTTTTTTGAGGCTTCTCAGTCCTCAGGGAGGAACTCTGCGTTGACGGTAGCGACGTACCGTCCGTAGTGAAAAATAAAAGCTCATTCATTCTTGTTCATCTTATTCTTGTCCTCGTTTATCTTTATATAAGTGACGTGTAGCAACGAAATTTTTTATTACGGTTATTTTCGTTATTATGTTCATTATTATGTCTCTCGTGCAGGTGTGACGTGTTTACGTACTTATCAGATTCGTAAAAATGAGCGGCAACTAAGATTATCTTCGGACATGTAAAAGCATTTTTTTTTCACTTCTTTTAACAGCTGTCAAATCATATGTTTTCTGTCTAAACAAGCTTCATTTCACGTGTCTTTTATAGCTATTTATTGACTAGGGAAGGGAAAGGATAGCAGCCGCCCATTTTCACAAGTATCTTAAAGCCATATCAGATGTTATTTTAATCAAATATCTATATTTGCAAAACTATCGTAATAAACTTTATTGTGTTATTTCTTGCCTACGTCACGATTCCAATATGGTGTGGACTATTCAGGAGCCTTAAATTTCGCTTGTAAATTGTAAATTACATGAAACAAATAAATATTCATCTTTCAACATATTCTCTCTCTCTCTCTCTC